ACATTTCAATACAGAAAATTCAGTAATTTTGATTCGATATATTGTGGTATAATTTATGAGTTCTGTCGTTAATGCTCTCGAAATCTATTTCATACTGTACCACACTGACAACTTTTTAACCTTGAGATACCTATTACTTTTTTCTGCATGATGCTGAAATTTATTTTATAGCCTGTAATATTTGTTCCATCTACTGGAAACTAAGTGTATTTCACAGTTTGTTCATTTATAGGTGTCCACTGCTAAATGATATATTAACTACTTTCTAAGACAAGCAACAAAAGTTAATCAACAACAGTTGATTTGTAAGGATAAGATTTGTTTTTTACGAGTTTGACCACGAATTGATATCAGTTAGACAACCGTTGAGAACCAGGGACTACTGGGTAGCTGTTTCATCTTAGTTTTTTAGGGATCATCGGGATGGATTTCCCGCCGACGACACTGGTTGGCGGTCGCGCTAAAATCACGAACTGGTAGAAGTTAGAATTCATGGACTGGCCATTGAATCAGGTCCCAGTGGCTGTATACGAGCTTGACTTGTAATCAGAAGGTCCTGGGTTCGAACCCTGGCGGTGGGTGTGTACTGCCGATGATTCCCAGAAAAATTGGATGAAACAGCTATCCAGTACACCCTGACTTTCAATAGTTCACAAACTGATATCAATCCCTGGTCAAGCTTGGAAAGTCTATAAAGCAGAAGTTAATGAATTCATCAAATTTCGGTAGAACTCTTCAGCTGGATACTCTACATACAGCGATATGTAAAATTAAGATAAAATGCATTACTTTCTAGTGATACAGGTTTCAGTTTTATACTTCAGAAAAAGTTCACTCAGTAAGCCACTATTCAGGAATAGGTGGGTATTATAACAGATAGCTTCTAGGTAAATATTTCGTGTAAAATATCTCTCGGTTTTTCAAAATGCCTGAAAAATGTTTAGAAACGACCTAAACGTTGAATTATTTTGTGAGTAAAGAATACTGAAAATCATATGAAATAGGATAGACATTTTTATCATTTTATTATTATTTCCTTGGGTTTCGAGTGGAATGTATGGTTTAGGCAGTAGTGCTTCTCTATTTCACTCTGTTCTATGCTGTCTTCTCCAGCTAGCTGTATGATCGCCCACAAATTATCACTTACTTCTGACATTAACTCTTTCATGTCACTCTTGGTTACCCAACTCGTCCTTCTCCTTTTGCGCCGCTCTCGAAGGCTGAGCGATTAAAGTGAGTCAATGGTCTCCTCAGACTGTGTTCAGTCCATCTCCATTTCCCTATGCGTATTTGTTGGGCATCAGGTTCTTGGGTGGATTGTTGTCAAAGTTCTATACTTGGATCATTATTATTATTTCCTTGGGTTACGAATGGAACATAAGGCTTCAACAACACATATCCACTTTCTTATATTTTCTGCCATCCTCTTCACCTGAGTCCACTATTTCCCACAGTCTCTTATCTCCTCCTTACATCCCACGATCTCCTCCATGTCATCCTCGTACCCATGAGCAACTGGTCACTTCCCATTGGGATTCCACTAAAGAGATGGCCTACATTGAGCGCAATGTCATTCGATGGTCTCCTCAAAGTATGCCCGATCCATCTCCATCTTCTCCTACACATCTGTTGAGCAATCGGCTCTTGGTGGGTTTGTTCCCACAGCTTCTTATTACTAATTCTTCATGGCCATTTGATTTTCAATATGGAGCCAGCGAAGTGGGCACTTGTTGATAAAAGTCTGCAGTTGCCTGTTGGAAATCCTTTTTGTGACACGCAATGCAAGTTTCTAACCCGTATAGAATAACTGACTGACTGACTTCACATTTGCGTTGAAAATCCGAATCTTGTTCTTTATGCTGAGTGTTGAGTATCTGGATCATTGAGCTACCTGAATTTCCATCCAACACAGTGTATCACACATTCGCTAATTCTTGCTGTTTTAACCACTTAATTATGAGCCACAAAATATGCTCACGCACATATCTAATTAGCTTTCAAAATGCTGGTGAACTTCTCTCATAGATGAAGGGAAAATATCATAATCTGCTGATCAGTCCTCCAGGTTGAACAGCACTGCGTCACACTATACACTACAGATATTGCGCAACAAATTAATGTGAGAATTCCTTACACTGTGTAAGCATTTTGTCTCAAATAAAGCTGTTATTATTAGCATCTCCGGTCAACCACATAATCTTCACTACCGAGTAATGAGGTCAGGTTTTGATAAATGTCTACAGATGAAAATAATTTTAGTGACGCACCAAGTCTCCGAACCATGCGGAGGCAGTGACTTGGCATCAGTCTTGAAATTTCTTGTCTTGGTCGGTATGATGCGAGCAGCAGATTTCCACAGTGATTTCAGAGTATTGAAGATCCATCTTGGCTTCCTGATCCTCATCTGTGCTGCCTGAAGTTCGAACGATGCTACTTAGATAAGTAAAAGAGGTGAGTCTCTTCAAATTTCTGTCGTTGACACTGATTAGTGCTTGTTGTAGGTTAGGTATCTTCATCATCTCTACCTCCTCTGTGTTCAGTCAAAGTCCTACCTTCTCTGCCTCTTCTGCTAACCTGTGGCTTTTAGCCTGTAGATCTTCCAGTTTGTGTAAATCACCTGCGAAGCCCATATCTTTTATTGTCTTCTGTCACTGCGACTTTTGGATGTCTTCTAGCTCTCCACAGTCTACGGCCTGATCCAGCCCACCACAATCACAAACATCATCACTGGTAGTAGACAGGCTTATTTTATGTCTATCTTCACTTCAAAGGCTTCATTGAGCCTTCCATTGTTAATGATTTGACATATGGCATCATCATACAGCTATGGAATGAGATTTTTAAATGTTTGGGGCACTCCATTGTGTTTAAACAGTTTCCAAATTGCTTCATAGTCAACCCTGTCGAAGACCAATTAAAAGTGGGTACAGTTGAGGTTGAGACTTGACTGCAATCCTATGCTCCGTTCTACGATGATGCATAGCATTACCACTTGATCCCCACATAAGTTCCTTTTTTCTGAACCCAGCTTTATCCACGTAAGGGTTTGCGTTCAGAGCATCTTCTAGCCTCCTCAGAAGCATTCAACTTAATTTTTGCTTGCCATAGACACGAGCATTATTCCGCACCAGTTTTTCTAGAGACGTAAGTCATCCTTCTTTGTTAGCTTTACAAGGTAGTCCTTCTAATAAATAAGTGCCTTTGTTCATACCAGACTATCTGTAATAATGGTGTGAGCTAATCAGCTGAGGTCTCTGGATCCGTTTTCAGTGCATCTGGGGGAATTCCATCCAGTCCTGCTACTTTTTGACTTTCAGTAGCTTGGTGGCATTCGAGATTCCTGATTTCGTCTGGGGTTCGGTGTTCGCTGACGTTTCTGTGATTGTCGGTGGTATTTCTGGACGAGTTGTAAGTGGTGGTCAATTCAGGAGTCCTCTCTCCCTGATAGAAACCTAGTTATCTGATCTAGTGTTCCCCTACTGGTGGTCTCTTCTGCTTAAGCTACAACTTTGTCGTAGAACCATCTTTCGTCTGTTCTGGTGCACTTCTTGACTCTTTTATCCAGAACACTCTAGATCGAATCCAGCTTTTTCTTTTGTTGTTCGTCTTTTCTCTGATTCATCTTCTGCCCACAAGTCTTCTTTTCTCTCTCAGCTTCAAGGTGTCATTACAGAATCATTCCCCGTGTTGCCACTTCCTCTTTTCCAGGACAGCTATACAGATTTCTCCTCACATCACTTCCACAGAGTTTCAGTGTTTCTCTACTCCCCAATCCTCTCTGATGTTGATTAATATGGCCAATTTTTCCCTGATGACTGCAGTGGTGTTGTTCGCAGATATAATGGCATATGTCTATACATCTGTGTAGGCTGAGTGTTAAATGCATCGGTATCGTAAACTAAAGTTATGAAGTCCCTATCCTTGTTAATGCCATGAATGCTGAAGAATTTGAAACTATGGTAAAACATCTGTGAAAGAACGTTTTATGTGAAAATCCATTTTGAATAATACATTTGTTCTACTAAGACTTATTTGAATATTTCAACTAATTTCGGAAGTGTATACCTTCTCCCATTATTTGTGTATCGTCGTTCTGATATTTGCATGTCTTCTTTCAATTTAATCCTTATTAGTGTCTTTGTTTTAGGTTGATTTCTAATCTTAACTGCTTCACTTTAGCATTCAATGCTGGTAAACTCTTGACCATAATGTATTGGCTTAACACAGATTTCGTCTGACTGAATTCAAGGTCCTGTCGTGGGGGATCACTTGACCTTGGACCATCTGTGGCAAATATGTTCTGTTCTATTTGATTCTTGTAGACTGAGTTTTGTCACCATCAAGTTGGAAATAGTCTCCGTGATTCTCAGGCATTTTATGGTTGTATTCGGTTAATTAATAATTTTGTTGTACAGTACGTGTTTTCTATCTGAGATCATTTTAGACTTTATAGCCTCCAGACGTCATTGTTGAAGCGGTCTGGCATTTTTCGTATGCGTCATCTTTGTTCAATGGTACAGCGGATATCTATGTTATTAAATTGTGTTTTGATATTGCAAGGAATACAATTTTTGACTGTGCATTATTCCCAGGCGTTTTCCTATCTAAGCAGAAGGATGAATTGATTAGTTTTATTACATTTAGATCAAAATAACTGAGTTTTGTTGATTATTCTAACCTTATGGTTGCTAATGTTTTTATGTGATGTCTATGCATGATATAATTTATATTAAAACCGACTGAGTCCCTTATAAACTCACTATTTCAAAGTATAATTGTGTCTAATTAGGAAAAACATTTTTGTTAACGAAGTGTGAACATCATTCAAATTATGACAATAATAATTAACTCTGTCAAAATAAACATGTTCACCTGTAATATGTCCATACAAGCATAAGTTGTCTTGCAGCATTAGCACGTTTTGGGCCAGACTGAGAATTCACTAAACTTCTTGTGACAATTTTATCAAGCCATTTTGTCCATGTTGTTAAAGTTGACTTATTCATTAATAAATTACACATTTCAGAATGTAAAACATTTATATTAACACCATTATCAGTAGTAGTAGAGTAGTAGTAGCAGTAGTCTCAGTAGTGTTAATAAAATTTTCATCATCATTGCATATTTCAGAGAATACATGTTTATTATTTAGATTCGAATCTAACAGTTTAAATGGTATCTGTGGTATACATTGGTCTATTGTTTCCTGTTTCATGCCCTTGTGAAGTGAACATCTACTAGGATTAAAATCATTTGAATATAAGTCTAATGAGTTTTGTAGTAATCCATACAATGAACAATCACTTGCCCATGATCCTTGAGCCTGTATATGAAAATTACAATAATAATAATAATAATAAATAGATATGGGGGTAGTATATGCGTTAAAATATATAAAGTTACCGCATATATGTTTGCATGGAGTATTTTTGCAGACATTGGGTTTCATCCCAACTGAGACTCATACACTGACTGTACTAGGCGGTGTCACACTAACTCTAAAGTATCGATGAAGCAAATATAGCAGAAACCGACACAATAACAGAAGATACAGAGCAATCAAGTATTATCGTAAAATCGCTAATGGCCAGCAAACACTTGACACAGAGTTAGGTAAACCATGAACGATTTGATTTATATCTATCACCTCAGTTATATGGTTTCACCCACAAGGTCTAAAACTCCTTTTTCCCTTTCTAAATGTATTGTGGGTGAGAAGCCATAAATCGTTCAGCTTTAAGTAAAAAAAGCTATTCGTAGGATTAAATGATAATAATAATAATTTGCTTTATATTTCATATGTATGTATGTATGTATAGTGTAACTGGAATCTTTCAAATCTTTTTGCACAACGATTTATTCAGGTTTCAAAATATGCCACAAATATATTGATTAAAAGGTGTAATTTTGTTCTTCTCTGGGCTTTTATTGTTTTTCTAGAAAACATATTCATCGTGGATTACAATATGAAGTCAGCTTCCGGGATTCTCCATGAGCTTATTGACTATGTCTCTCTTGGAGACTTGGAAAGGGACTACCTGTTTCCCTAGACTTGCACAACCTTTTGCCCACTTTTATTGATAGTGCATATCATGCTGGCCTGAAGATTAACCTTTTGACATCTATTTAATGTTTGTGAATTGATTAGTCGTCTAACTGTCAATAGATTAAAGTGAGCATTAGTATGAGTTGTATCTATGCATTGCATATTTTAGTCTTTAGATGCTAGTTTGAATTATTATTTCAAGATAACAGAAGTTCATATCACCAAGATTGAAACAACAAATACCCGTTTCATGTACGATATAGTTCTCATGGTTTAGCAGCCTAATGGATAAGACTTTAGAGCTTAAATAGATCAGACATCTATCACTAAGTGAGATTCAGATATGTCCAAAATGGAACAAAACACACATCTTAGATTCCACTGCTAGCCATAAAAGACCAAACAACAACACTATAACCAATGTTATTCAAGCAGACTCCTAAATATTGATCCTTTTTTAAAAATTAACTATAGTTATAAGTATTATTATTCATTCCTTGCGTCTCTAGAGGAACACTGAATTTTAGTGCACATCTCCACCGCACTTGGTTCTTGGCATTCATTTTAAACTTGCTTTTATTTCTTCTTTTGAGTGCTTTTCTCATTGTCAGCCTCAGATACCAGAACCATCGCTCCCCATTCGGGTCCCACTTGGCGGTTATGCTGGTGATTTCACTTGATTATCTCCTCAGCATATCTCCAGTCCATTTACATATCCTTCTGCATACATTTTGGATAACAGGTTCTATCCTGTTGCCTCTCTTTTTGTCAAAGCTCTCAGTTGTTAATCTTTTCCTATCAGTTATTTAATCACCATTATTGACTGAAGCTGGAAGGCGTTAATTACACTTTGCAGTTCGTGAAGGTGACGCACCAGTTCCCTGAAACATCCTGCGGTAGTAATTTGACAACAGTACTAATAATTCGTTTTTTTTTCAACGTATTATGTGTTAGATGCTAGAGATCTATGAAGTAATTTCACATTAGTGAACTCCTGTCTGGTTTTCCTGAAGCTTTCGGGCTTTGACATACATATCCGTGTCACCTATAATTGAAAAAATGATGTTAAGTAAATGATAAAGGTGACGTCCTTTAGATTTTCCATACTGATGATTACTGACGTTTGTTGTCCGTCAAGTACCTTCATCACTTCCGTCTTCTTTATTTTCAAAGAATGACTGTCTGCAAACGATAAAATAGATGTATATTTTTTATTGAAGCAATGAGTTGGTAATTTTAAGGTGGTTTTGCTTTGCAACTCTACTCAAGCACTGGTTTCAGCTTCAAAAAGTTATGCATAATTTCATCCAATTTAGATTTTCCCGTCAATTGACTGGACCGAAGTTCTTTGTCTCAGGTTGACATATCCGCCTCTACTGCAGATGCTTGAACGATGTCTCGTCTTGTAACCTGAAGTCACCTGGTGGATGCTGACTATCACTGAAACCCAGAGTGTGCATTTCGTCCTATTTGGGACTGGTCACTGGATGTACCAGTGAGTGATAGTGTTCTCACCGAGGCTCGAGCCCAGTGCCTGTAGTTTCAAATGCTTAAGCGTTATCCATCCAGATGACGAGTCCCAAATGAGACGAAATGAGCATCCAGGATTCTCACTGCTAGTCACCATCCACCGATTGACTTCAAGTTATGCATAATACTTTTGCTTTATTTTCTGTGAAAACTCAGATTATCTCTATTAGTTAGATTGTCACTACGTAAACATGAAGATGGTGATTGTGATAAAAATTAATTGAGATTTAGATCACATAACAGTTGGTACTAATGGCTTATTAATAAATCAGCTTCTCAATCAATCGAATTAAATATCAAATCAAACTTTGAATTAGGCATCTATTGAATTTCATAGTCACATGTGTTTATATGAATGCAAAAACAGTGACCTTGAAGACTCATTATTGTTACACTTAAACAAAACGCTAAACATACTTCAATACTTTTTAAATCTAATTTGTTAATATCATTTAATATTTGTGCACATTTTTGGATATCATTGATAACATTTTCAATTGTTTGACTAAAACAATTAATTCCTAATGCCCGATGTAAACCTTTAGTTAAACAGTTGACAGCTGACAGCTTTCTGTTAATTAAATGTGGATTAAAATATCGTATAGCTGATTGTAGATAAGGCTAAAAAAGAAAAACAAAAAAAAAGCTTTTAACAATTAATAAAGTAATTAATTCTCTTATCAACACTTCTTATACACCTATAATATTATTGTGTAGATAGAGATATTTACAAATGCATATCGTGTTAGGCGTCATTTTTAAAGCCATTGAGTAATATAAACACATTAAGAAAGATGTGTATTATGTTATTTCATGGATAATGACTAGCACTGGATCCTGGATGTGCATTTCGTCGTATTTCGGACTCCCCAGGTGAATATACCTGCAGTCCCCAGTGAATGACAGAGTTCCCATCGAGACTAGGACCCAGAACCCAAGTTTTTGAATACTGCACTGTTGTCCACTAGATCACTTGGGCCACGAAAACCACCTCTTGTGTGACGGTGACTAATTAATTTTTTGTTTAGGTCAGTTTTGTTTTTCCTGCTGATCGACTAGACCGAAATGTTCAACCTCAGGTGACATATCAAACCTTAGTATGCTTCAATGATAGCTAGGGATTAAAATGACGACTGCAGGTACATCCAACTGATGAGTCCTGAGTAGAGAGTAATGAAAACCCTCGATTCCACTGCTAGTCACCATGCATCAAACAGCCTCATGTTAACCCTCAGACATTATCGAGGTGACATGTCAACATAGGCCGAACATTTCAGCTCAGTCAATCAACGGTAGAAATGAAATTGACTCAAACAAAATAAGATGTGTATTACTACAATAAGGAGGAATGCATCGATATATGCATATATATATTTATTTCAAACATTAGGATTCTGGACAGCGCTCACAATATATTTTACAGAGTTCTTCGTGAAACCATGTCTAAATAAATATTCACTGTGAATTACTTTTTTACATCGGTACTCTAGATTATTCTGACATGAAATAAAGACTACTCCAGATGTTGGCAAAATTCATTCCGTAGGAGGTCGCTGAAACTCATCAGCAATATTATCAAGAATGTCTTCAGCATATAAGAATATATATGTATATCTCATAATCAATCACTTGAGTATATGAAAGTTATTCAGCATAAAATTACCTCCATTAATTTTATCATAGTTTGCAATCCTTGAATTAATTCATTGGATAACGCCTTTAAACTGTCTCTTATAATAATATCAAGTAACAACTGATATAACGTTCTATCAGCAAATTCAATAAATTGACAAATATGTGAATCTTCGCATAAGTCGATTAAGTAACTTTTTGGTAAATTACAGTCTGATGTACACATCTATAAGTAGAGATGAAAATGAAGAATAAATAACATGAATGAAAAATTCATCATTAACTTAAAGTGTACACGTTGTTTTTACTGAAAAGTTGAATTTATTGATGATAGAGATGAAGTGTTATCATTCATCTAGAACGCAACAACCAACACCTGGATATCATGTAAAGGAATAAAATTACGACAAAGGAATAAGATTTTGAAATGTAGAAGAGGGAGGTGTTAAATTAAAAATAAGGACTTAATAATTTTTTGATTATAGCTTGAAACCAAACAGCATTTTTGGTACAAGTATGGAATTTTCAGCAAGTGATATCGGTAGCCCAAATTTTGCAGGCCGACCATTGATATCACGTGTGCGTCGACAGGGGGTCCTCGGTGAGAGTCCTAACCGCCGTGCCACCGACGCACGACTGAGACTGAAATATAATGTGGATATATCTGCGGTACTGAGATTAATTCTGAGTGATTCTGTGTAGATTCTTTAAACGTAAGTATTTCTTGCCAATATGAACTCCATTCGGACGATATGAACTTCTGTATCAATCTGAGACTAACAATCGATGATTTCATACTGTGAATTTATATCTTGATTTGTCCAGCATATCCATGTAAACTCTTTCTATTCTCATTACAAATTTCGCGAGATGATATCATTTCGAAGTTTCTTTACAACCACCGTACAACTAACATGGTTAACAATAATAAAATAAAATAAAGTGCATGATAATTACTCAGTTATATAAAACAAAAGTACGTACTAATGACCAATCATATTTAAATAGGTAAATATGTATCAAAGAAATCTATTTTCATTAACCTACCGTTCAAGGGTGACCAGATTATTTACTTGACAGCTCAAAGACTTCGGTCAGTCATTAAATGCAGACTCTACGCCGCATCTCTTTATCTCACATGCCGAACATTTTCGATCCCTGTACCTACGATTAAAGGACGAAATTCTATTGACTCTACTTCACACTGTATCTACAGGTTCACCTGCAGCTGCGGTGACATCTATATAGGTAGAACCAATAAAATGTTCCAATGTCGCAGGAAAAAACATGTTCCAAAATGGTTATTAAAACATATAGAAAATCCCAGTGCAATTAATCTGAATAGAAATCCAGCATCATCCATTGCAAAACACTTACTAATGTCAGGTCACAAAATCAATATTAATGACTGTTTCATAATTATTTCACTTAGCTGCAATTCAAGGTTATTGAAGATGATGGAAGCACTTTGGATTAATCACATACAGCCTAAACTGTGTGTACAAAAAACAATAGACTTCAATCTTCGCCTACCATGGACTACATGACCTTTTAAATATTGGTCATTAGTATGTACTTTTGTTTTTATTAAACTGAGTAATTGTCATGCACTTTATTTTATTTTATTATTGTTAACCATGTTAGTTGTACGGTGGTTGTAAAGAAACTACGAAATGATATCATCTCGCAAAATTTGTCTTCTAAATGCCTAATTCAAATTTATCAAAGGGACTAATTGTTTTAAAATTAGCACTGCTAAGATACGAGCAGTGTTAGTTAGACAACAGTGGCATTTCATAGAAAATCTGCAGGACAGAATGAACTGTTGCTCATTGTACTCATCAATCGATAAATAACAACATAAGCCGCCTATGCATGGTAGAATAAATCGTGTAAAGGTTAAACACTCTAACAACAGAAATTATGTACCATATTATTGTATCTTTAAGAAAAGGACTGAATCACACCTGTTGGCATAAAGCAGTTTCTCTCTAACACTCAATTCAGACTACAGAAATGCATAAAAATATGTTAGACTACTAAATACGGTATCTTAATCAGACTGATGTCTTGTAAATTCCACTCCCTTTGGCCAGTATCATTAAATTAAATTGTAATGTGAATGAATAACAGAGTTCTGCCTTCCATTTAAAACCCACCCACAATTACCTCCAAATCTTCCGAATAGCTTCTGCGCATGACCACAATAGGGAAAGATTCCCGAAGGAATCGATTCTTTCGTCGTAGTACCTTGACATCCTGGTGCATCTGAGTTTTATCTTAGGTTCAATTCCTAATATGATATAACTACAATCCAATTTCATCGATGAACGCCTGATGTAACATCCAATTTAACTAACCAGTAGTGAGGCCCCATCGACCCTGTAGTACAGAGTGGAAATTACTGAGAGCCTAGCAAAAACTTAGTAGTTTCCCAACAATATCCTCAAATTAAAAGCACAACCTATCGATCAAGTTTGTATAATGTGTAGTTGTATTTCTCTCAACCCACCCATGACCTTGAAATCATATTGGTTGTTAGCTGTTTTAACTTAACCGTGTAATTAGTGTCTCTCAAGGTCATGTAAGGCATACATATGTATACTCAAGCACTGCCATGCTTTTTATTGTTGATACGAGACAGTGAAAGCTCACCACATTAACATTCTGTCTTCTCTTCTTGCGTCGCTTTCTCTGTGTTGTGTCGTGTTGTTGTTGTTGTGAGTAGTGTTTATAACAATAGGCTCTTGAATTGACTAGATAAGAAATTCGTCATCTCAACTACAAGCGTATTAACAGCTATATCACATTATTTTAGTATACGTTTCAAAAAGAAGTTTACCTACTGTAGACTCTGATGAACACCAAAACTGATGCCATATTGTCCGTAAATTTTCTATTTGGATATGAATAAAGGCAGTACAAACCTGCTCACAATGTGTTTCATATAATTTAACAAAATATGCTATCTGTTGACTTTTTAATTTCTCTGGACTATTTTCTTGATATTGTTCATTAAATTCAGGTCTTATATTACACCCGAAAATATCTAAAGAGATGAAATATTGAGAAAACAAGAAAACAATCAGATATTTTGTATCATAAAGTTATTTTGATTACTTCACAAAAGATGCTCCATTCAGTTTTAAGCCTAGTTCAAGGTACTAGCGATTTATTAATACCTCATAAATTAAATTATACTGTGTGCCACTTTTAAATAGACATAAGTAGTACGTCACGTAACTTCTTCGAAGAGGTAATAATGATTGCTGTATTAGTAGAAGGACACTGAAGGGGAAACCCGAGAAGAATGCGATAGCACTGGCAAGAATCCAATGAGATAAAGGTAATAACGAAGAAATCATGCACAATACAGAATGAATGATATTGCAATGTGTGATTAAATGCAAATGTTACTCAACAACCTCTTGCAGTTGACAGCAAGCCACACCGGCTTTGTGAAGGCCTAAACCTCTGCAGTTGGAGTGAAAAATTACAACTCAGTGTTAGGAACTCGGGCATCCAGACAAATAGGCTACAAATTTGTATGATCAGTGTTATTAGTACTATATCAAAACTCTTGTAAAGCAGAAATCTAATTTGGAATACTTCTAAATAAGTACATTTACATTCTCATTTGCCGTCATATTGAAACATATTTTAATACTCCAAAAAGTTCAGATCTGCGAAGGTAAATTCACTACATCTAAGGATAAACTCACTTTCTATATCTATACTACTCAGTGAAATAAAATTTGTGATAAATAATTTTAATATAATAGCATGAAAGGTTTATTTACTTTTGATTACTTGCAGAAAAAGTCTTACCATTTTCACTAATCTGAAGTCCAGATAGTGAACATAACTCCATTAAGTTTGAGAAGGTAAATTTATGATTTGGATCATCGCCAAAGTGTAGTTTTGGTGTATTCTCAGTTTCATTTTGATTCATTTTCCTTGATCCAAAAATGGAAGATAAATTAAAATAATAAAACTATATTTATACATACTGAAGAGAAATAATATTTTGAATAGAAAGAAATTCACTGGAAGTAAACAGCTGTTTAGATATTTTGACACTATGTTGACTGAAAGTAGAAGAAGTGAGATTCATGATCATGTTTATTTTGTAAGCCTGGAATCATTTTAGTTTCTCAATTGGTGGATGGTGACTAGCAGTAGAATACAGCATGCGCATTTGATCCTGTTTGCGACTTGTCAACCAGTTCTCGCTCTTTATCGACTTACAACAATCTTGACATATTCATTATAATAAACGTTTTCTTGTACTTCCTAATGAATGAAAAACAAAACGATATTGTTGTTTTTACTGACGTTTCGCTATTTAATGCTAAAAGCTTTATCAAAGTATTATTAAACCAGAATTTACAAAATCTCAGTATATATATAACAAAGAGTTAAGAGGTCAAACACCTCCATTATTTGTGATGAAAATTGTTCAAGTGGTGAGATTCTTGCAAAATTTAATATTTCTCACTCATCTATGCTTTTCACTATCGAAGAAGAATCGAATTTCGCTTTTCCCTTCTACTAGATACTAGAAAGAAGAGAGGACGGCACTTTAAAAGGGTCGATTAATCGAAAGGCAACATTTACAGGGCATTACACTAACTTCAACAGTTGGGTACCTCTAGGTAGGAAATCAGACTCACTGCGAAACAACCTTGTCCATATAAAAGACCGAATCCCTAAAGATTCTCTGTCTAATTGTGCCTATAAAATAAAATGATTGGAATGTGATGCGATATACATCGGACAAACATCTCGAGAAATCGAAATCAGAAGAAATGAACACCTTAGAGCATCTGCTGACCACCGAGAAATCCAGTTGAACTAGAAAAGCTTGAAAAATCATCAGCCATACGTCTACACGCCATAGGCCACAAAATTGACTTCGACAATATTGAAATAATCCATAAAAACTTCAGAAATCACAAAGAACGTCTAATATCATCAGAAGCACTTCATATCAAGTGGAATCCAAATTGACTGAATAGGAATGATGGACTAAAACAGAATTCGACCTGGTTGCAACAACCCCTCCGCCATGAAGTGACAAAATCAATACGAATGTGATAAGCAATTTCATTATGTAAACACACGCTGCTTTTATAATTTTACACACTTATCAAATCCAACAATCTACACCTGGTTTTGTTATCTTTACCAATTGGTCAATTTGACAACGAAAAATGACCCCAGACTAACGAACGATGATCCAGTTAGTAAACTTTGTTTTGACACCATAGCAAATGTACTATTACCTCAGTTATTTGGTTTAGTGATCGTCATGTCCCTTTAACTTGACCTAAGTCTATTTTCTCACCTCTTAACTATTTGTTATATATATACTGAGATTTTGTAAATTCTGGTTTAATAATACTTTGATAAAGCTTTTAGCATTAAATAGCGAAACGTCAGTAAAAACAACTGTATCGTTTTGTTTTTCATTCATTAGGAAATACAAGAAAACCTTTATTATAATGAATGTCACATACCCAATGTCCAAATATTTTCAAACTTTTAACAGTGAACTTGGTTTGGACCTATATAATCTTGACACATATTTTAGAAAATAACAGAAACCAATGGCACATAATTCACGTCATTACTACAAAAATATTTCTATAGGTTAACATTTAATGTATCTGAAAAACATTAGAACCTTCTATAGTTTGGTTTGTAAGGGTTAGTTATGTTTTTACGAGTTGATCACGGATTGATATCAGTTAGAGAAACATTGAAAACCAGGGAGTACTGGACAGCTGTGGCATCCTAGTTTGGGATTCATCGGCAGCACGCACCCACTGGGATTCGAACCCAGGACCAGTGGGTGCGTGCTGCCGATGAATCTCAAACTAGGATGCCACAGCTGTCCAGTACTCCCTGGTTTTCAATGTTTCTCTAACTGATATCAATCCGTGATCAACGCGTAAAACCTTTAGAACGAAAATTATAACACGAAACTTTAGATATGAAGATTTATCGGTTTTAAAAGATCTAGTTCATCAAAAAGGACTTTCTGTAGTACTAACTTGCTTTCGTTTGTTAATCTATTACTTTATAAGACGCACAAATCTCTACACAAAAGTATTTCTTACATCTGAAGGCTTTTATTCAATGTTGGTGAACATTGAATAGTTTGTTTATTTGAACTGGTCGCCATTGGAGGGAGACAAGAAGCTTTTCATTATTTAATCGTGTACTGGTTGGCAGAAGATTGGAGAAGTGCGATCAGAAGTATTGATGTGCATTGTATTAACGTTTATTTACATAATTTGGCACTGATTAACCATTGTAAATCTGTTTTGTCATCGGTTGAAGAATAAACAATCATGTTGCACAACCATTTTCTGTTGTTCTGCGTATTAAGCTTAGTCTTCTGAAACCGGCGATAGGTTCAGGATCTCTGCGATCTAGCTATTTGACACCTTTTTTATTTGTCACAAAATTATATCGATGATGAAGCCATTGAAATCGAGGGTGAATAAAGTAAATACTTTACAGCATGATTTCAACTCTTTTACTAGCAAATATGAACATCGTCGAAACAGGTGTTAAATCTACTTTGGTTTTTCTAGTAGATCTCTGTTTGACTTCAGTCTTTAATAGGAGTGGCCTTAAAATTAGTCAGACATTTCACAGCCCTACTACCTATTTCAATATGAACATAATGTATACTCATTTTGACTCTTTATCATAACAACTTTCGTTTAGAATGCCTTCAGAACAGCGTGAATCCACCCGGAAACAGTCCCATAAAGGAAAAAAATAATATAAATAAATAAAACTGAATGAAATCAACTTACTCATGCCATACTACTTTATTATTACTATTATAATCGTTATTCATATTAACTAAAAAATCCCATTTAAGACCTAAATTTAAATCGACGTCAAAATCTTTTGGAATATTTGAATTCAATAAATTCTTCATAATTACTGGTTGCATACACTCATAAGTGATTAGTTTATTTTTATTATAATCTGTTAAGCTACTGTTACTATCGTTATTGTAAGTAGTATTTGAAGGAGTTATGCATTTCTGTTTGCACCGAATAGAATTCATAGAATTAGTTTTCCATAAATTCAATAATGAATTATCATAATTATTCTTATTATATTCTTTTGTTGATATTAATGACATGTTGGATGTTATGCCATTATGAAGTTCATTCATTATTTTATAATTATCATTATAATTAGTGTTATTACTGTTATTATTACTACCCAATGAATTTATCATTCCTTGACTATGATGATTGTTTGTTGTCATTAGCGCTGATAACGATGATTTGAAGCAACATTTTTCAGATTTTATAGAATAACGATAAGAATTTGATTCTATTCCAAGTGTATTCGTCTGATGATTAATTTGATTCTGTTGTTGATGTTGTTGTTGGTGGTGGAGGTGTTGGTGGTGGGGATAGTGTTGGTGAGACTGAGACTGAAGAGGACGTGAAAGTAGAGGATGTGATTGATGGTGAAGACGATGAGACTGCTGGTGATTAATTGTTCTATAATTTTCACTTCTACTTAGTATAGTATTATTGCTATTATTATTATTAGCAGTAGTAGTGTTCAGTGTAGTACGATTTGTATAGGAAAACTGATCTCGTTTATTACTAAAAATTGAAAATTAGATTTAAAAATATACTCAGTCGAATAAATACAAACATTTAAATACATTCTTGTAGCATTGAGCCATCATAATATTCAATGATGTCTTAAATTAAAAACTTAAAATTCTTATCTAAGTGTGTTTGATTTGCTTTGTTAACGCACAACTTGCTGTTTAAACAATCGAAGTTTCGAGTTGGTTTTTTTCCTTTTTCCGATTTGTGAATAATTAACTATTGTCGGTGTGTATTATTATTATTATTCTAAATAGTGGTTTAACTACTTTTCATTTAATAATTTTTCATAGAATTATCGAACTGACTTAAACTACTACGACTATCAGAGTTAGGAACTGTCCTGTATACACACACACAAATATAATGTACAGATTATCGACAAAATCTGGAATGAAGTGTTTGTCAAATGCACATTTTACTAGAAATATCTAATTTCATATACGGACAGAAAAAAAAGCATGATAAGTGATATAAGACGGTGAGTAATACTGAGATTAAGCGTAGGGTGCTACGTAAGGAGGTATTTCGATTGAGGTAGTTAGGATACGCTTTGCGCTTGCTGAGTCACCGTCTTTGAAACGAGCAAAGGTTGGCCAATCCAATACAGGGGATCAGTTTATGATGTCTAACATTTGGTTTGAGCCACTTGAAAAAGTATAGACTGCTTGGATGGTGTCCCCGGCACTTTAAGATTAGATGGTTGTGGACCGTCGGTGACGTGTTTCAAATTCCTTTTCAACGGCACAGGTGGATTTTCTCTTTTAATCTCACACATCCAATAAGTCCTGTTACTTTCCCATGTGTTGCTATTCTGTTCACTTTACACTTCGATTCATTATAATCCTTTTGAATTTCTTTTCTCTCTTTTTTCCTACACCTCTGTGTTCTATATTAGAGTGTGACAACATGAGCTGCTGCACCGATGTGCAAATTTTAATGCTAAAATTCAGTCATTCAATCAGTCAAGCAAACTTACTTTAGATAATCCTTAACACGTTCAAAAGCAAAGTCTAAATACAAATCTCCACCTCGATTATCCATTCGTTTTCATCTTTTGTCTCGTCCATCCCACATTTGCCCATCTGGAACTTTAGTTAGTCCATTCGCAGACTTAGACTTGTCACATCCAATAAATGGATCAATAAAGGCTCAAGATTGCGAGTCTTCGAGTTTACTTTTCTGACGTTCGCGTCCTTTTAATGCCTCGATAATAATTATGAGTAATAAATTTTGCTCGGAACTTCATCACTAAGTAACACCGTATCACTATGTTCTTTTGTCAAAAAACTTTATCCTCTGATAGAATGATATTATGTTTCTTTTGAAAATGATGTGCCAACATGGTACCAAATATCTCGTTTAAATTTGTGGTTAACATATTTAATTGGTTAGAGTTCGGGGTAGTGATGCATTGCTTACAAATAACCCTAACATTAATCTAACCCGGGATCAGTGTATATTTCTTTGGTTATAATTTGCACATAAAAGTCGATTTATATGCTAATTGTAAATATAAATAATGTATACATTGATCAGCAATTAATCTGTATTGTGATATCATTTAACTGAATATCTGTGTGAGTGATACAAATTTTAGTAAACAGACATCATTTAATCACATTACACAGAAGTTCTTCAGATAGTACAATAAGTATTGATCTAGGTCACGTTTATGGATCCAATAGGCAGTCAGAGCTAAATAGTTTCACTAAAACCGCAAAATATTTTAAGCGAAAAAGATTTGTTAGATGTCGTAAACTCAGCGGAAAAAATGAAATTATATAGTTGAAAGGAGAATCAGTGAATTGTCCAACCCAAAATCACTATGTCTATTTCATTGAATGAAATGGAAATGCTTTTCTGATTCAAGACAAGAAATACTCATGAAATCCCACTTAAGTTTCGCTGATATATTTTTTCTAAATGTTATTGTAGTCATATTCTGAGTCTCATCTGCAAATTAGTGATGCATTTTCCACAGGATTTCATGAACAAAAAGCAACTTGTTAAGTGTTATCTGACACTTTGTTTTGCATATTATACTAGTAATAATTCTTACCTTGTATTGACTGGTTTAAGTTCTGCTGTTTGATCTAATAAAGATGTAGATTTGATACGTATTCCATAGTAATGATACTTCGAATTACCTCTGAAAATAATTAACCAGCATATAAGAAAGACTCTTGGATTTAACACGAACACTACTCTTTAAATTTAAACAATTTATGAATAAATATTTGGATACAACAGAGAGACATGTCAACATAGAAAAATATACCTGCCACTGCTTTATAAAGTCACTTTCCAAAATAGCTCAAAGGCAAAAAAGTAAAGCGAAAAAGGGAAATTACTTGTCAGTAGTCTGTGGGAACTACTCTGCTGCTTTTGACCCTATTCCTAGGGTAATTTTACTGGGCAAGCTGATTTCAGAAAACACTGATTCAAGGGTCACAAGGTGGCTGTCTTCTTATTTTTTGGGTAGAAAACAACATACGTTTTTGAGTGGAAAGCAATTCACTTCATTGCTAACTGAAACTGACATGCCTCAATGAGCTTTAATCTCACAATTCCTTTTTTCCTTCTTTTTTGCATGGCCTTCCATATTCTTCCAACACTTAGCAGACTTCTGCGCTTTCAATGATCTGGCAATCGCAGGCAGCGTGTACAAGCACAAGGACACACAAAAACCAACATAGGTTTCATCTGACTGACGAGATCGACTTCATGTCAATGTTGCTCAAGGAGGTTGAGACGCAGCCTGCTCGACACAATTCCAGAAGGGGAGCAGATGTGGGCTCAGAACATCATCTATTTCAAGAAATCTTCAATTTAAGCTCAAATCCATCAGAACAACAAGTTCAACGCTCAGAAACCGAAGGACAAAACTCTGAGGGATACCTTCATTGCAGTTGGAGACACTGTGTGGCACCACTGAGGAAACCTGTGTAGAAGAACATTGGAACTCTCTGAAGGTGACGTTCAAGGAAACGTGTAGATCTGTTCTAGGAAGAAATAAGAGTCAATACAAGGAACGGTTCTCAATGGACACCTGGAAGCTAATAGGTGAGAGGAGGATGGTGAAACAGAAAATGACTGAATGCAAAGATGGACAATAGAAGAAGAAGTTGAATTCAATGTACACTGCACTGAATAAAGAAGTGAAGAAGAGTGCTAGGAAAGAAAAAAGACAATTCTATGACACACTGGCCGACAACTGAAGTAGAACAGGCCGCAGATAGAAGAGATCTCAGAACATTATATCAGACTAGCAGGTCTCTATCCTTAAAGAGATCAACGCAGATAAAACCTGTAAAAGATGTGCAAGGGGACCTGATTACCAGGGAGAAGAAACAAATCAAACAATCTGCTGACCCCTTCAAAGGACTCGTGAAACAACCATCACCTCCTGCTCCTCCCAAAAATACACCACCACCAACAGCACGCACAGAACTGCCACTGAACACCAATCCTCTTATAAAATAAGTCTTAGATGCAATCAAGCTACTGAAGTTCAATCAAGAAGGCATCAGGGTCAGACGGAATTCCCCTACCCCGAAGCACTGAAAACGGACCTAGAGACTGCAACAGATATGCTCACGCAATTATTGCGAAAGGTTTAGAAGAAAAGAAGGAAAGGTACCTACCTTTTGGAAGAGAGGCAACTTTATCAAGCTACCAAAGGAGAAGAAATGCTCTTGTCCACTCCAAGTAAATTAATAGGTCGTGTCATCCTGGAGAGAGCAAAAGACACACTGGATGCAGAACTCCGCCACCTGGAACAAGCTGGATTCAGGAAAGGCAAATCATGTACTGGTCAAATTGCGACTCTACGCATCACCATAAAACAAAGCATAGAATGATAGCCAAACCTCTACCTTAACTTCATGGATTTCAAAAAAACCTTCGACAGACAGAGTTGACCATGAAGTTATTTGGAAGTTAATTCAACACTATGGCGTGCAGTGCTCATATTTTTATCAACCTCATTCTACAGCCGGCTATATAGCAATGCCACGTATCAGATGATTCACAAAGAAAAAATCGGCGGTTTCTGAAATAGATACAGGAGTAAGACAAGACTGCCTGTCTATTATCACCGATGGTATTCCTGATTGTGGTGGACTGGATTATGCATCAGACTGTGTGTTGGGAGTGAGAAGACAGAAATACGTTGGACCACCGAAAAGAAGACTCCGGAGGATTTGTATTTCACCGATGACTTATGTTTAATGTCACACAAACTGGAAGACTTACAAGCGAGAACCAACAAACTGGCAGAGGGGGCGAGCAGCGAAGACACGACTCGTCCAGGTGGACATAGCGAAGACGGAGGTGATGTAGATAACCAGCGGACACATCAACCAACCAACTAACAACAATAACAACCAGCACCAATTACCATCAATGGGAGGAATTTTACAAAGGTTACTTCCTGCCTTCACTTAGGAAGCACCGTTTCAACTACAGGCAGTAGGAACGGATAAAGATGTCAAAACCAACCAGCATCGGAAAGGCTAGGTACGCCTTCATCAGCCTGAAGTCAGTTGAAAATCTTATGCTCTCAGAAGCATAAAGAAGATTCGGAGTTTCAACACAAATATTCAGCCAGTCAGTTCTTCTGTGTGCGTCACAAACATGCACCGCGTGTCACGAAAAGGGTTTCCAATAGGCCACTGCAAACTTTTATCAACAGCTGCCTTCGCTTGTCGTATACTGAAGATCAAATGGCCCATGGAAAAAATTAGCCACAAGAAACTCTGGCTGAGAACAGACCAACTAAGAGCCGGTCGCTCAACAAATATGTAGAAGTAAATGGAATTGTATTGGGCATACGTTTAGAAGGTTGTCGGAATGACACCACGCTCCAGGACATTGCTCGAGTGGAATCCGAATGGGGAGTGACAAGTGGGTCATCCTAGGGTGACACGGAGGAGATCATGTGAAGAAGAGATGAGAGATTATGGGCAATTGGGGAACCAGCTGAAGAGGACAGCACCAAATAGAATAAAGTGAAGATACGTTGTTAAAGCCCTATGTTCCACTCGAAACCAAAAGGAATAATAATAATAGATAAATTAAGTTCACATATACGTATTAGATTATGTTGGCAATAATAATAATTACCGTGTACCAAGTCGTCTTGTACGTAATCCAACAAATATTGAACGGATCAATTTACCAAATGATGCTGGATTCATTGGTTCTAACCAGTTCTCTAAACAGTGAGTTAAATAATGTGAATATAAGGCACTTCTTGATAAGCTAACACCATCAGCTGATTCATAATTTTCTAAAAGCCACTGAACCTAAAAGAAAAATTAATAAACAGTCTCATTCAATAAGCAAAATTGTTTAATACTTATAATTGATTATTATATTTATCGGATAAAATTGATCAGTTTCTTACACTATGTAGAGTCTTTCAAATGAAGCCTATAACCTCATTCTAAATTTCATGTTGATTCTCCTTATCTAAAGGAATAATTAGGTCGGTTCTTGAAAGAGAAAAATCATGGATTAAGGAGAGGCAGTAGTATTTTTATCTGGTCACCTTCAAAGTGGATGAAGTGGACGTTTTTAATTCTGTAAGGTCAAAACAAACAAGAAAGCAGACATAACAACGTGGAGAATTTTCTTTTTGACAGCTTACTTCGGTTGAATGTAATTTCAGTGTAGAGTTTCTGAAAATGATTTGTTGAAAGGTCATTTTTCTTTATCATTATCTCTTCTTCCTTTTTTGAACTGATTTCCTAATTCTCCTTTCATCGAAACAAATAAGATTAAGGTGAGATATTGAAATAATAGAGAAGATTTGTAGCTCAGGTGGATGATTTGCAATTAATAGTGTTCTCTGAGCTGGTTGGTTTACCTGCGGAGCTTTCGTCGTCCCCCTGCTGGACAACATCTTCAGCCCAATATTTAGCATAAAGTGAAATCATTTAAATGTCTTCATGAGTGATAGAATTGCGTCTCCTGGTAACTATCTTTACATATGTATTGACCATTTTCTATTGACTTGGATTTTAAACTTTCTGGTCACC